GAAATGGATTGACTTTATTGTAAAATACCCTTTTTTATTTTGAATATCAATTTCTAAAAAAAAATCAGGCCAGAAAGTTGGCCAATTATTGCCCAATGATGTATCACAAATTGAATTTAACAGAAATAGGCAATTATTGGCCATTTATTGATTTCTATATGATTGGTCAATAATTGCCCGTAAAAGCGGACGTATCTGTGGCCAATAATTGCGCATTTTGAAATGGACAATTTTTGGGCAATTATTGGGAAGTTTGGGCTTATTGGGGTGAAAATGTATTTCAATTAGCAGCATTAAATCCAAGAAATACCAAGCACAGCAGCTAAACACAACAAAAAAGTTTGTTTTTCGATAACGGCAGCATAAACACAACCAGACTAAACACAACAGACAAGTAAAAAGTAAGATAATGTCACATTGTTACCAGAGAAAATAAAACAATCATTTAAAGTATTTAAATTTGAATGATACGCGCTTCAAGCTGGTTCTTCCGGTAGCCACTAGAGTCGCCACCGTAATTCTGTTACCCTCTTCTAACAGGCAATCGGGCACTCTTTTGTGTTTGTTTCTCTATGGTTTCTTGATGTCATTAAAATTGAAAATATTGGCCAAAATATTTGGACGACGATCTTTCTGAAATTTCTTATTTATTGTTATTTCATTTGAAATAGGAACCTGAAGAACTTATTATAAGGAAATCAAATTTTAATAAATTATTGTTAGTGATCAAATGTAACTTTTTAATATATAGAAAACAAAAAAACTTATTTAAAATTCTTTTTTTGTTTTAATATAGGAACCTCAAGATCTCATTTCTGTGACCCAAAATTTTGGGATTGCTCAAAGAACCCAAATGAAACTTTGTTGTACGTATGTATATGCGTATACGCAAAATTAAAAAATGTTGTTATCCAAATTTACTTTAGCCTAATACATGAGCACTGTCTGATACCATACACCCACCATACCTACGGCTACGGCTTCTTTCATTACATTACAGCCGGTTCATTACATTACCCCCTGCACTACAGTACTAGTACAAGTAGCTACTTGTAAAAAAATAAGTAAAATTAAAAAATCTGCAGCTGTTTTATCTAAGGAATTCAGCACTGTTTTATTTTAAATTCTGCTTAAAAAAACCTGTCCCCCTTGACACCCTTTGCTGCACCCTTCCATCTTAAATATGATACTAAAAAACATTAAAACAAATATTTCACTACACTTAGTATTACAAATTCAATATCATTTATTTTTGTCTTTTATTTATATTCAGCGGTTCGTTTTGGATAAAATAAAATGATAATTATGACCCGCATCCGCCCTTCAAACTGTACCCACATCAAATCTGACAAATTATTCCCATAATTAAAATGACAGAGGTCAAGACATTTAACATTACCGAACATCGCACTCCTCTTCAATACTAATATCTTTATTCATATTTTCATATTATATATAATGTGTTTCTGGAAAGTGCTTTTCAATGAATATATCCACATATATTTGGATTCGGGAGGGGGGTTTACAACAGCATTACATTGTTCCAGTGCTCGGCGAGTTAGTATCGCTTTGAAATCGTAGGAGTATGGCAACAAAACTAAAGATTACTGGCATTTTCTTTCTAATTTAACTGGTAAAAACAGAAAACCAATTGAACATTGGATTTCCAAAATATTCACAAAAATAACATTTTTTTAATGGCACACCCTGTATATTCTTTACATACTTTAAAAGGCAATTTAATTTGGAACAAACAAGTATAACTACCCTAAACTTAAATATAAACAATTATAAGCACTAAATGCAAAGCTAATTTTAGGTTCCAAATTAAATTGCCTTTCAAAATACCTAAAAATATACAGGGTGTTCCATATAAAAAAAAATTATTTTTGAGAATATTTCGGAAACCCGACATTCAATTGTTTTTCTGTTTTCACCATTTTAAGCAGAAGAAAAAATACCATTTACCATGGTACATTACTTTACAATAGAGAAAATGCGTTAATTTATTTACTTTTGCAAATATTTATAATTTTGCCTTAAAAAACAAGCGTTCTACTAGTTCGGGATTCAGCCAGGAACGCTTTTCATTGATAGAAAGTTATCGCACGTTGGTACATTTGGCGTTTTCAACTTAAAAAATATATAATCTTCCAAACATTTTTTTTAAATAGTGATATTATTAGCTTTACTTTGCAAGAAAAATTAAAATTGAGTATGTAGCCGTTGTGAAGATATACACTTAAATGTTTTTTTTTATAAATTAATTTGCAACATTAAGCTTAGTCTCTGTGTATCGCCTCTTTTATTGAGGTTTTTTGGACATTTTCCTATTTCAATGGCTTTACGAATGGCTTTAGGTTTTCACGGGCGTTATATGTATTGATGGTTTTCCGGCATCTGCTCTGTGTTGTCGGTTTATGGTTCTTAAAAGAACCGTATGTCTGACGACGTTTCGGTACAATCTCATGTACCCTCTTATCTGCTGGGCTGCTGTTGTTGCTCTGCTGCTTTAGATTTCCATTGGCGTTATATGTATGAACTTTCAGCAGAGCAGCAACAGCATCCCAGCAGATAAGACCTGAAGATGGTACATGAGATTGTACCGAAACGTCGTCAGACATACGGTTCTTTTAAGAACCAAAAAATGACAAAAAACATACATTCAAGTGTATATCTCCACAACGGCTACATACGCGATTATAATTTTTCTTACAAAGTAAAGCTAATAATATCACTATTTAAAAAAAAATGTTTGGAAGATTATATATTTTTTAAGTTGAAAACGCCAAATGTACCAACGTGATCGGTAACTTTCGATAGTTACCGATTCCACGGCTTATAGATAACTATCGATAGTTATCGATAGTTTTCCCATCCCTATTAATTTTAATTTACTAAAACCTCTCTCACAAGTGTAGTGGAAAGTGTACAATATATGCGCAACGCAATATACCTAATTGGGAATGCATGTTCCAAATTATTTTCATAAATCATTTACATACGGAAGCGCTGATGGGCCATGTTAAATAATTTTATTTAAGAAAGTTTTCATTTATATTTTCAAATATCTGGAAGTTTTTAATAATTAACTGTAAATTTTCAATTATTAAGTGGAAATTTCCAATTAATATGTGAAAAAGTTCTACACCGTTTGATCTCTATCGTTTGGAAATCCTTTGCGGTGCACAAGAGATAAATCATTACAGACATTCCGAACTTAAGAGTAAGGGTACTCGCTGCATTGCCCCTGTCTTAAGACATTTTCGCCCCGAAAAGTCCTATAGAAGAAGCTATCTACGGTGCCAGCAAACAAGAATGTATATGCCACCAAATCTGAAGATAAGTTCCAGCATACTTCTAATTACTCTCCAGTTTAAACCGTCAAGTCTATAAGCAAGCTTTGGTATCGCCAGGTTCATAATGTCCTTGAACAAAAGGGTATCCCTTAAATTTTTTAAGGCATTCCATACGTCACAGTAGTTTGGCATCTGATCGGTATTGGTATCGCCAGGTTCATAATGTCCTTGAACAAAAGGGTATCCCTTAAATTTTTAAGGCATTCCATACGTCACAGTAGTTTGGCATCTGATGGGAAAGCGACTTCGTTACCAGATAGAATATAAATATGCTTATGTTGTTTGTATGCTCGTTATCCACTATTTCCAGCACCTCTTCAACTTTGGGATTCGGCCTTCGCAGTTCGTCGACTTGTCCAAACTTTTTTTCAGCGACGGCTCTCCTGGACATCCTGAGGTCTTCTACAACACAGTGGGTGAAGGAGTAATTGAACATATATTGTTGTTCTTCTTGATTGACACCATACCGAGCTTTTTTACTGTTCAAACATTTAGACATGAAGTCTTCAAAAGGCAGCTTGTGTTCCGGCGGATCAACTTTTCTTACTATAGCATCGTCTATTTGGTCATCATTGTTTCCAGCGTAAGGAGCCAATCCATTGAAATTGAATACTTTTGGCTTCCCCCTTGATTGTTTCCTGATCCTGTAGATGATGTCATTTATGGGATCCCTTTGTTATGGTTCTTGCCAAGAAGTCTGAAGTTTCGGCATATAACCACGACGACGCTGAGGGTTGTATAACCAATTTAGGTCTCCAGGTTGAAATCTTCAACTTGATGTCGTAAGCCTCTTTCATTCTATCACTGGCACTCTGGATGTTTAAACAAACTCGGCTGTTAACGTCCCTTATTTTCCTACCTAAATTGCTGACGTAATCTTCTCCAGCAATATCTTTTCCTGGTAGGCAGCCAAACCTCCGGTCACAAAGGAAGACAAAGTTCACGTCCCATAAATAAATCGTTTTTGACCAACAATCACGTTCAATCCGTGATAGGCAGTTAATTACAGTTATTAATTGAAAATTTCCAGTAGGTACATATTTTGAAATATTGTTAATAAAAATTATTTAACATGGCCTTTCAGAGCTTCTGTATTTAGGTACAATATTTACTTATGTTCTGTGCAATATACTGAGATCATTCAGAAATGTTTTTTTAATAAGAAGATTTGAGAAGGTCTGAAAATTGGTCCTGAAAAACAACCAGCTCCTGGTAAAAGTCCGCGGCCTTTAAATCTTTGTTGTATTTTAAGGCTAGATCAACACCATGTTTTTTTAACTACTCTGAAAAGAGTTTGTTTGGTTCACATCCATTTAAGAATACCTAGATGATGCTAATGGCAATTTTAATACATTATAATGTATAATTATATGCAATGCATAATACGCATGTCAAAATTTGCATAATACGCATGTCAAAATTTTTGTTGAGTTTAAAATATTTGTATTTGCAATACATTAATTAATGTACCTATAAAATACAAAATGTATTAGGTAGTAATTTTTTATTGAGGTTTAGATGTTTTAGTAGGCTGGAAATAATTTTTAATAGTTACATTACATTATATAACATCCTGAAGATTTAAGTAGTTACCTATGTAATGAAAATAAATAATTAAAATAATCCAATATCGTGATTTACCTTCATAACATAGTGCAAGGAAATCCCTTTCTTTTCGTTCTCTAACATTCCACCACACCATCCAATGTCTGTCATCATTTTCTTCTGCAAAAATCCCATTAACTTCACAACAGGCTGTTGCCTCCTCACATCCATTCTCCACGTTTTCTGCTTCCTGTGGCAATTCGTCAGGATTTTCATCTTCAGTTTTCTCCAATTTATCTTTGGGAACACATTTTAGGAAGAAGCAGGCCTCTTCCGCCAATTCGGTGTCAACTACCTCGTTGACGCAATTTTGTTCGTCAGATCTTTCTGCTTGATCCATTTCTAACCTGACCATAATACGTTATTTTATCCGACAAACTACATTCTTTACGTCTCATCTCCTAGAGATTCCGATGGTTGCTATGGCGATAGACATCCTGGCGTCACAAGTCGCGACTTTGCGTCTCCAGTCCTTAAAACCATGGCCACAACAATTATACACTAATGAACATTTTTATGAACAAGACACCCCTATTTAGGTATACATTTTAACAACAATTTAAACAGTGTGTACTAAAACACTTATTTTTATTCAAAAATAAAATCCCGACACTATGTCCACTACAAAAAAGCCTTTTTAGGGCGTTTTAATGCACGGTTTAATTCACTAATTACCTTTAATTTATGCCACTAATTCGTATTACGAAAAAAACAATATTGCATTGCAAAGTTGTGTATAACAGCTGATTTGACAGCAGTTAGGTTATGATACACGCAGGCGCAATGCGGTGTGTCAAGTCCTGTGAGAATCCCTATACGAGGGACATCCGGACTAAAATACGAGGGCATGTCAAAAAACTATATACCTAACCAGCTAAAGCTTTAATAAATTAGTAATTGCTACTGGTTTTAAATAATTTTAAGTATTTGTAGGAGAGGCATTTTATTTTAAAATGTATAAAATTACGAAAGAATTCAGTAATGCAAAAAATAAACTGACATATTTTACATTTTACAAAATAAAAAATAGATTACTATGGCATAATCACAATTAAAAATTCCTACATTGTATTTTTAAGTAGGTAGTTGCTTTCTTAAATTAAGTCATTGCAATGGAATTCTATTCTGGAACAACGTGCCAAAAATGTTTTTTTCTAATCACACCATTAAAAAATTACGAGAAAATAATGCGCATAATCTACAGTAGTGTAATACTAAACTTTACTTCAATTAGTATACTAATCTATAGATAATTAAATGATTTATTAAAATAATTAAAAAATCTGACATCTGTATTATTGAAATCGGCCATGGCAATTATTGGTTCCTAAAAACGTTAATAATTAGTTAATTATTCACGTTGCTAGACGGCGGTAAAAAGGAAAATCTAAATAATGTCAATGTTATGCAATATATCCATAGATAATATATCGTATAGGAGTAGAAAAACTTTATTATTGTCACTAACAATTTGTCAGCACTCACTAAAAAAGTAATAAATTATAATTTATTACTTTTTTAGTGAGTGCTGACAAATTGTTAGTGACAATAATAAAGTTTTTCTACTCCTATACGATATATTGCCTAACATTGACATTATTTTAATTATCGCCTATACTATAAAAATAATTTAGACCAATCAGGTAAGGTAAGGTAATTGCGATATGTTTTTGTACTAGTTGGCATTGTCTCTTGAATTAAAAGTAAGGAGTGATAAAACTAAACCAAACCCAAAGCTCATTATATAGCCCAACTACTCAAGAATTAGATTCTAAAGTATAAAACGTTAATAACTAACGGCAAAAAAATTACATCTTTTTTTTAACGTTCCTAACATATTGCATTTGCCCCGAAAAATGGGGCAAATATGTTAGCGGCTGATTACATTACACTATTAATGTATTTAAAGTGGGTATGGGGCTAATGTAAAAGAGGAAAAAAATAGGATTATTTTGGTGTAAAATCGTGTAAATCCGTTAATAATCATAAGGTGTGCAAACTTTTTTTTATTTTTAATTTAGGAATTAACAGACTACGGTTAATACAAAAAGGAAAAAACGATTTATTATTAAGTACTTAAGTGGTACCTACTGCGCAGTAGTTGTCGGGATTTCTCTACTTAGATATGAAACCCAAGACAACAGCGTGCGTTTTTATTCGTTTGCTTTTATTTACTACTACAAGTAAGAATTTTATCGCAAGATGTGACATTTACCCCAATCTTACAATTACCCCACCTTACCTTAAAGTGTTTTACCTTCTAGTCCGTAAAAAACCCGTTTGGACCAATTAAAAAATTTGACTTATGTTCTGTGATTTGACTGTCAGATCTCTCTAACCTTACTTTTAACAATAATTATTATAAGTGTTTTATAAAACATATACATATATGTATAACGTTTAACAAATAAAATTAAAATGTTGCATATGCCATGCAGCTGAGAAGTGTATTTTTGTGCTAAGCTCAAACCTTGAGCCCAATTATTAGGCAGTTTTAAGATAAATTACTAACAGATTTTATTACAGAGATGTTACTTTGACAGCTGCCATAAAATTTATATTTGTAATTTTTATACATAATAAAAATGTCTAAGAACAAATGTGGATGCCAGGTAAAACATTAATTTTGTATTTAAACTTTATAAGCAATTAATTTGTAGAATACTTGCTATTCCGATAAAGTTTTGGTTGGAAATTGGGTAAATGATAGAATGAGATATGTAAGAAATTTAGACATGGAAGATATGTATTTAACTACAGTTAAAAAAGATTACACACCCATGCCTTTACCAGAAAGACATTCTGATTTTGTTTGGGACATAAGGATAAAGCAACAGGTAGAAGGTAGAAAAAACTGCATCTGTCAATTATTCCACCTCGTTTTTTTATTCCTAATTAAAAATATTTAATAAGTTTTTTAATCGGCGCGCGATGCTCTTGCATTCAAAATGTGTATTTTTAATTAAGAAACATTTGTTTTATTATTTTATCTGTACCTACGTGATTTTTGGGCGCTTTTATCTCGAAATCCAACCCACAACTGTACATGAAAAAAAATGATTTTAAAACTATAGTATACTATAGTTTTAAAATCATTTTTTTTTTATTTTAGTGTTATAAGCATTGATCAATCAACGGTTATAAGGCAATTTATTTATAATAAATAATTTAAAAATATCATGAGATTTAAAAATAAACAAATTACATATTTGTGGAGCAAACATGCAAAAACCGATAAATTCAGATTTATCGGTTTTTGAATGTTTGCTCCACAAATATGTTACTTGTTTATTTAAATCTCATATGATTTTTTAAAATTATTTATTATAAATAAATTGCCTTATAACCGTTGATTGATCAATGCTTATAACACTAAAATAAAAAAAAAAGATTTTAAAACTACTTATTTCATGGATATTTTAACATTTTAAGAGAATAGTACCGATTCTTACTAATTTTGGTAAAGCATTTTAAGTAAAAACTGAAACAGAGAGAACCCGACAGCACTGGCGTAGCGACAAATCTTTACTGGGCCCCCTGATTTCACATATTTTTTACAAGTTTTTATATTGAAAATAAAAATTATTATTTTTATTTATTATTATTATTATTATTATTTATTAAAAAAAATATTTGTAAACGAAAAATAACAATAACAACTTTTTTACAAAATGCGAAAGAATATTTTTTTTTTAAATAAGGTTCTCCATACAGTTCAACACGATTAACCTCCCATGAAAAAAAAAATGTTAAAATATAGGTTAAAAAAACATGTCCGTGACTTATCGTTTTACGAAATCACGTCATTAATAGTATATTATGTATCAAGTTTGATAAACGCCATTTTATACACGAATTTAATATAGGCACGAGCGAGCTTGCGAGCGAGTGCTTAAGTTAATGAGTGTATAGAAAAGTTTATAAACGATATCTTAAAATGATTTAAATCAAAAATTTGTATAGAGCGCCATCTATGAGACAACAGGGGAAACTGTCAAATGTCACATTTTTACATTTTATAAACACAATTATAAAGGTATTAAATCGAAATTTATCTTGAAAATTGACAGTTTTTCACAGTGAAAGTAAAGGAAATGTTTTATGAGGACTTTAAAGTATAATTATAAAGTATACAGTAGAGTTCGTGCCCGAATTTAAATTATAGTTTACTGCCGGCGAAATTAAAAGGTCAGTACAATGTTCATATAAACTTTTCAAATATTGGCGTTGAGAAACTATTTAATATTTTTGTATTGAGATAATAAAATAATTTTCACATTTAGTATTATTTTACAAGAAAGGCACTTTATTTTAACGATTGTATGACATTTGACAACTGTCAACTAACTTAAAACTAACTTCAGCCCGTGACTAAAAACCTGTTGCTAACTTCAGTCCGTGACTAAAGCGCCGTAAAGTCACAACTTGTCAATGTGTATTTAAAAGGTCACTTAATGTCATGGAAACATGTACGATAAAGGGCGTTTTAATTAAAACGCCCACCTTTAAAGGTGGGAGTAGAAACATTTTTTTATACAGCCTTTCTTATTATTTTAACATATATGTTGTATATATACAATGTATATGTTAAAATAATAAGAATGGCTGTATAAAAAATTTTATATTATACATATATTTAATTTTCTATTTTGTTATAAATTATTTTTTCAAATATTGAATGTTTTAAATAAAAAAAAATTCTATAAATAAAATTAAAAAAAAATTAATTATTGATTTTTTTTAAATAAAATTTATTCATTAAATAAAATTTTTTCAAAAACTATACATTTAGCTGTTATTGAAGCAGTGATCTGAAAACACGCCGAGACACGGGTATCATTTTTTAAGTATTTTTTCAAAATCTGTAATCTTGAGAAAATAATTTAAATTTTGTCGTACTACTAAAATAATAGAAAAATAATAACATATTTTTATAACATACAAAGATAACTAGCAATCTAAGCAATCTTACAATGTTGCCATGCATAATTTTTAAGCGTCGCGTCACGTTTTTTGTTTTGCAGATAATACAATGGAAATAAGTTTTTTAATGTTTTGGGGCAAGTATAGGCCGGGCCCCCACAAGGCTGAGGCCCCCCGCGGTGGTGGGCGTTCGCGGTACTGTCGCTACGCCACTGCCCGACAGGACCAACATATCCCCTTAATAGTTTTTAAATATTTTTGGGACTACACATTTTTGGTCAATATCTCAGAATAAGTTATAATGGAACCTCATAATATTATTATATGTGTTATATTTCATCTAAGCCGAGGTATATGGCTTTTTAACACTTAAAAGATAATTTTAACATTTTATAAGTGTAATTATAAATTACAAAATTTACAATAAAAATATACTTACTGGACCTTTAATTAATTTTAACCAATATATTGTTTTTTTCATTAAAGGAAAGTGCTGATGTGTTCCCCCTTTCTTTTGAAAAGGAAAGACCAAATTACTATGAAAATTTTTCTTCTCTTTATGATTTAAGTTACAATCATTTTCCTAAAAAATATAAAGGAGTTTTACCACGAGTTTTAAGATTTAAATGCATGGACCATTTGCCCACAGATGAGTATTTACCTAGCTATGCAAGTAATACAATTTTTTAGATTTAATGTTTTGAATAAATAATTTTATTTAGGGTAATATAACTAAATATGGTTTACAAGATAGTTATAATTATTTCTGGGAAAAAGAAAAATATGAGAGAAGACATCTTCCACAGAGTGTGTACATGGAAACATATGATGGTCATACTGTAAACAATTATAAACAGTATAACTATAAACCCAATTCTTGTTTAAATCAAGAAATTATACATTTATTTTTAGGGCTTTAATGGTGAGACAAAATGTTATTGACAATGGCTTTGAAGCCAAAGCCCCAGGGTGTAACCCTATAACCTGGGAATGTTACAAAAAACGAAAACCTATTATTTGTAAATAAATTTTTGTTACAAATAATTTTACTGAAATTTTTGTAGAATGTTTGAACGGTAAAAAATAAATTACAAAATATGAACATACCATTTATTTCACTTTTAATCCGCAAATGACTGTTAATAGTTTCACATACGTTCGTTCTTTTATAGTAATTTTTCAATAATTAAAACTTATCTTTTATCTAAATATCTTACATTTAGTTGATTTGAGGTATCAGTTACTGTTTGGCAGTGTTTATAGTGACGATATTTTCGTATAAAAAAACGTTTACACAAAAACTAAAACAGCCACAAAAACTTTAAAAATAATTATTATAAAACTTAAATAAATTCTACAAAACTCAAAATACAAATAAAATAACTACAAATAAGTGCTTATAAAATAAGTAAGTTATAATAAGCATTTATAATATGACTCATTTAAAAATTTAACAATGAAATATACTTAATAAATAGGAAAAAATAACACAAAATATCACAAAAATATCATATTATAAATAAGAAAAATATCAAAGGTTTTATTGAGATTCAATTCTTTATAAAACTGTTGATATTTTATAAATAAAGTTAATAAAGAATTCTTTCTTAGTTAAGAATAAGGTGAAAGTAAATATACAGGGTATTTTAGATTTTAATCGGATAAATTTAAAAGTCAATAGAATTCGCAAAAATAACAAGAAAAGTTTATTATTTTTTGTACACTACAACTTTTTTAAGTAATTTATAGTATTTAGTAATATATATATACATATAGTATTTAATTTAAGTAATATTATTTTTAGATTAGGTTATTACTTTTTTGTCTCCTGAATTTTTTATCTATCCAGTTTATTTACAAGAAAAAATAAAATTCGTTTTATTTTGCTTCTAAAAAAATTACGGTCATGGGCGGATAAACGAATTTAATTTTTTTTCTTCATAATTACCCAATATAGACAAAATGCATGAAACAAAAAATTGCATTTTTAATTGCTTAATCTAATTATAATATAAAATGCAGTAGCATGACCATACTATTTTTATTAACTTTAACACCCTGCCTCTTGAAAACAGGTTTAAAGCATACAAGTTCATATAAATTTTTTTCTCTTATTTTTGCGAGTTCTATTGACTATATAATGTCTCCGATTCAAATCTGAGACCCTGGATATTACGCAATAGCGTTTTAGGACATAACAGAAATAAATTGTAGCTTAATATTATTATAGATCAGTCAAAATTATTCCCATTGGTTTAAATAAAAATTAATCCAGTAAAAAGATAACAAATTAAATTGATTAATAACTAAACAATAATAGTTTAAGAATAATGTTTTTAAGAACAATGGATGAAAAATAAAAGTTTCATTTATTTTTGCTATTTGAAAAAAAGTGCAAAAGTATGTGAAATTTTTAATTTTTTATCCCTGATTAAGACTAGATAAATATTGTTTTTTTGCCTTAACCATGGACCATAACACTGGACATGTAAACAAACATAATTTGTGGCTTTAAGATGTGTGTTAACAGTTGTTTTAAGAGGTGTGTTAACAGGTGTTTTGTAATGTTTTGAGTCGTACACAACTTAAAATGACGTACATTTACCTTTCAGTCGTTGCAGTTTCGACGACATGCTTTTTATTTTACTAATTGATAATTAAATATTGGATTATGCAATACCACATACAATTTTGTAAGAATAAATTTAAATTTTGTCAATATATAACAATTATAATATTTAAGTATTCAGTTAACATATATTCTAAATTTTCCTTGAAACTGCTACGCCACTCTACGATAGGTACATATTGCAGCCAAACAAACGAGATGATTTTGACGCACATTACGCGTCCAGTGTTATAAGTTCCAAGCCTTACACCAATACTAATGATAATAATTTTATTATTTAAATCTGTAAACACACTAAAATGTAGGTTTGGGTAATTGTGGGTTATTACTAAAATTATCTGTTACATTTTTAAACAAACTACTTGGAATTTTTTTAGTCCTTGAACTATTGCAACTGAATGTTTTCTCTGATTGTAATGGGGACAAATAATTGTTGGCAGAAAGATATAACATATTATTCTGATTTAAAACAGGATAGAAAGTATTAGCATTCCTGTAATACAACTGACTTTCAGGGGAGCTTGAAAATCTTCCATCCAAACTAGGCGATTTTTGCGAGAATGTTTGTGGAGATTTAGAAAACATATTTGAGTTAAAACTATTATTTAAAGTTGCAGGGTTGTTGTAAATATTACCAGGATTTATTGGTACAAAATGGTATGCAGGCTCAGAGAACACTGAAGTTTTGTCAAAATCACAAAGGGAATTATTTGCAGTTTTTGGATAATTATTAAAGGGGTTATCACTGTTAATGGAACAAAATCCCGAACTCTGACTGGAACACCTACTCAACGCACAATTATACTGAGGCATCTGAACAACACTTCCATCAGACTCTCTCCAAAACCCGCCAGCCACCCATGAGTTGCTTAATTTGGATGGTGAAAGAATTGACCTGTTTGACTGCATGGAAGTGACGGAAAAAGGCGATGACGCGCGATGTATGCTTGGCCTGCAATCCAAGCTTCCTAGATTTAAACCTTCCAAGCTCTTGTGTAAATCCCCCTCTTCCCTAAACGAACCAGCGTTTTGAAAAACGTTATTGACTTTTAAATTACTACGCGCCGAATAAAAGCTCGAGTTTGGATCGCATTCAGCGGCTTTATCAGATTTTGGCGATATGCAGAACGTGCAATCGGATTTGTTTGCCGATGCGTTCGATGTCTTCGACGAATTTGAGATTTTTTCTTCCTCCATGTCTTCTAAATCTAAATCGAATAAGTCGGATTCAGTCTCTTGACGATTTTTAATTTTTTTGAAAAACATTTTATGCGGAATTACGTCTTTGGCTGTTAACGATGAATACATTTGGTAGAATGAACAAAAAGTCTGAAATTAAAATATGTGTTAAAATTACAAAACACTATAGGTAGCAGTAATTTGCAAAAGATCTTTTTTTAAGAATCCTGGTTCATAAATTGCATAATGGGGTGGAACATTTTTTATTCAGTATGTGAGGTTGCAAAGAGAAAAAAACCTATTTTTCATTTTTCAGAAAATGTTGATAAAAGTTTTTGCTTGATTTCAAAGCCCCCAAATATGCGACACATAATTTTTTATTGTCTAAGATTAATTTGCAATTTTAATTTTACTGATTATTTTTTTTGACAGTTCTCTGTATTGTTGGGACATTGTTGAGGCATTGTTGTTGAGGGAACCTACAGCGAATTACAGCGATAATTTTTTGAAAATTTTCTCTGGTAGTTGCTATATATAAAAAACAAATTAAATCTTAATTAAATGTTGTTTTATTCATTATGAAATTCTTATTTGTTAACTGTACATTTCGTCTCATGGTGCAATTCTATTGGCCGACATTTGGGACAAAAAAATAATCCCCCGAATACCACACGAGCTTCAAAATTATCTGGCATTTCCCTCAAGGTTCCCTGCAAACAAATAAAGTCGTCAAGTTTTTCAGGAAAAATCACTCGCGCTTCGCGCTCGTGATTTTTTAACCTGAAAAACTTGACTCCTTCATTTGTTTGCAACGAACCTATCGGGAAAAATACCCGATAATTTTGAAGCTCTTGTGGTATTATAAGTGAAAATTCCACACCTGTAATTTTTAACCAATCAAAACGTGTATTTTTGATAGATCACCATGGCAACGGTTGAATTTTAGTGGAAATTTTTTCCTCGTGGGTACCCAACATAGTAGAGGATCCCAAGTAAGGTCGACCTTCACCCATCTGCTTACCAGATGAAAATTATATTTTATCAAATAAAATATGTTTCTGAACATAAACCAATAGGGTTGCCATAAAAAATATGATCAAGGCTATCTATAATAAATAAAAAATTAAAAAAAAAATAATTAATTTTTTAAATTTCACCGACTTGCTTGCCAAATGAACGAAATTCCAATGGAAAGCATACAACATACAGAATATGTAACAGCTAGGTTGCCTACCTTTTTCTGGTCCCTATTACCTGGTTGCTTTGTACAGGGTGATCCCCTATAAAGTCGCCCCCCATTAACTTTTTTATTTTAAGTGTCCCAAAAAATTTAAAAGTTTGGTTATGTAGGTACTAAAAAATACTTTTTTTCTACGTATAAAGAAAATTGGAAAATTGATCAGTATACAGGGAAAAACAAAAAGTTTATTTTTTTTCAATGGATCACCGTATATATGAATTTATTTTTCGATTCCTTGTAAAATTCTGAGCATAATTTATATAACAAACCATATACCTAAATTCAACCGTTTCTGAAATATTCGCATTCGAAATGTCATCATTAAATGTTTTTTTAAACTGTTAGAAATCAAGAAGCCTCAGTATACCAAAATTTTTATTGAAAATAAATTACTATAGTGAAATTATGTCAATAAGTGTTGTTAAATAAGTAAAAATGGCGTACTCAGACAGAGAAAGACAAACTATTTCAACTTATTATCTTAAAAATAATTTAAATATTTCAGAAACGGTTGAATTTAGGTATATGGTATGATATATGAAATATGCTTAGAATTTTACAAGGAATCGAAAAATAAATTCATATATAGGGTGATCCATTGAAAAAAATTAACTTTTTTGTTTTCCCTGTATACTGATCAATTTTCCAATTTTCTTTATACGTAGAAAAAAGTATTTTTTAGTTCCTACATAACCACACTTTTAAATTTTTTGGGACACTTAAAATAAAAAAGTTAAAGGGGGGCGACATTATAGGGGATCACCCTGTACAAAGCAACCAGGTAATAGGGACCAGAAAAAGGTAGGCAACCTAGCTGTTACATATTCTGTATGTTTTATGCTTTCCATTGGAATTTCGATCATTTGGCAAGCAAGTCGGTGAAATTTAAAAAATTAATTATTTTTTTTAATTTTTTATTTATTATAGCTAGCCTTGATCATATTTTTTATGGCAACCCTATTGGTTTATGTTCAGAAACATATTTTATTTGATAAAATATAATTTTCATTTGGTAAGCAGATGGGTGAAGGTCGACCTTACTTGGGATCTTAGACTAACAGCGAATTATACTGGAAATTTTTTTGACGTTTATAATGACAGAATATTTTTTTGACAATCTGGTTTTTATTTGTTTACATGATAATTTTGATACATTTCCATTACAAAGTTTAGATGTTTTCTATATTCGTTGGACACCTCCTTTCTTCTTAATGGCGAAAATGCAGGACTTGAAATAAATTAAATGTCCATGTCTAATGAAATATATATAATATTTAGACACTATTCTATTCACCTTTTTTTCCATTTAGCACTTTGAGTTTTGAATAGTTAAGATGCAAATATTCGTGAACAATTCAAAACAAATTTTCTTTCTTCAAGTAGGAGCCATAATCCTCTAATAATGCGGGTAAATAAGTCATTGCACGGTGATTGATCATTACAGCAGACAATTTCACATTTTTTTACGTCGTGCCGCTTGACAGCTTTAAAACTGAAATAACTTTTAGGTTGGGGTTGACTTAGTTGCCATGGTAACTAAATAATCAAGTCGAGGTCAAGTTAAATCAAAAAATAAATTTTAATTATTTAAACACAATTTGGTGTGGAATTTTCTTATCGAATACCACACGAGGTCAAATTAAATCCGAAAATTTTTTCTCCCTCATGAATATTTTTAGAAAATTATCCCTCGTCTTCGACTCGGGATAATTTTCAAAATATTCATGAGCTCGAAAAAATTTCCGGAAATAATTTGACCTCTAGTGGTATTATTAGTGACAATTCCACTCTTGTCAATTTAAATCTATTAAAAACTGTCAAAAATACGGTTTGCTGACAGATAAAAAAGAAAGGAAGGAACAGAAATGCAAGTGACCAGAATATTTTTCTATTTGCCTTCTTCATAGTAATGGATGTATCATTGTATAGAGAAAAGCCAAAGTGACACAAAAATTAATTCATTTATTTACTCGTGAAATTTTCTCAACAAATACCACTCGAGATTCAATTGAGCAGGGAATTTTTTGGACTTTTAACTCAAACTTGGTGGTTTGTTAATCTGACTTTAAGAAATTTGGGCAAGTTGAGCTACATTCTCGTGATTTTATATCCCAAATTTCTTCTCGTCAAATTAATATGTTAAACCCCCAAGTTTTCGTGAAAATTAAAAAAAAAATATCCGGCAAAATCGAACCTCCAGTGGTATTACATTCAGAAATTTTATATAAAAACATTTTTCCTCCATTTATCATTTCTAAAAAGTAACCGTTTCTATTGACATATTCAAAGCTTTTCCTCTTTAAATTATCGCAAAAAATACATTTTCATCGGCAGTTTATGCATGTTTATACTTTTTCATAAGTAAAAATTAATGACATATGTGGAATATTCTGGAGAGATTTCTACCTATCGTGGTAAAAACATTTATTTGTTGGAAAGAAAATGACTAATGAACGAAAACTAATTAAAAAATTTCACTCCAAAATTCAGATAAATCAAAATTGCCAATTAACCATAGACAATAAAAATGGTGTGTCGCATATTCTAGGGGTTTGAAATCCAGCAAAAACCTTTATCAAGAATTAAATTTTCTGAGAAATATAAAATGATGCAAGCTAGCTGCAAACTTTAACAAAATGTCACATCAGATTTTGTAGAGATTGCTAACAATATTGTCTTTGCATTACATTTTTAATTAAAAAAGTAATTCAAATCTTACCTGTATTGCATGTAAATAGAAGTATTTATTATGTATCTGAAAGTATCCATTCATATTTCCCCATATTGATAAAATCATGACACCCCAACTAAGTAGATTATTAATTTTATGAATTCTTTCATGGTTTTCCCATTTATATATCATAAGTTGTATAAGTAAGCCAATACAAGTGACTAATTTCAAATTTTTTATTTGAAAAGTTACTATGTTTTCAGGAATTATTTCTTCAATTTGAATAAAACCTTTGGCAGTGTTTGTAGCTGTCTTGTAAAAATCAGTCCATAGTAATGTGTAAGGCAATAAGGCCTCTGGCAGCAGTGTTTTATAGTTCTTGGATATGAGTTTGCCTGTTATGAAGGCTGAATTACAAAATATTAACAGGGAGAAAATATTAAGGATAAACTGTGCTAATTTCAGTAACACACTTTGTTTATTCTGCTTTGTTATGTGCCCTGTTGATGAATTTAAATCCAAAAGTGAGACGACTTTTTTCTTTAAATGTTTTAATCTGTTACCAAAAAGCCATACATTTTGCTTTTTAATCGTAATCTCTAAAACTTTTTCACATTTTTTACATAGCCTATATGCATTGTCCAATTGCTTCCTAAAATTAAGATATCATTAACAAATCAAACAACTGCTAACTTAATTTTACTTACTGGAAATGTTCTATTTCTTGGTCATAATTATTTTCATTTATTGGTACAAATTTTCTTAGTTGCACTATTTTCAATTGCTGGTTGTTATTGCAATAGTTACATAATCCATTTGAAGTTTTTGAATCATAAAAACTTGTATTAACATTTTCAATTCTATGCTGGTCTGGAATTTCCTTATTATATCCTCCATCCTAAGATTTTTAATAATAAAATTATGTGATACAAAATAATAAAGGTGAATACTTTACTTTGGTAAATCCATTATATTGCATACATGATGGACAGTCAAAACTATTACGATTGCTATAAAGAACTTTAGTCCACTGGTTACAAAACCAACAATTTACATTTACATGAAATCCATTTCTGTAAAAAAAAATTGGATGAACAATGCCAATCTATATATAATTTGCCAAATAAAAATTCAAGTGGAGCAAAAGGGCCCTTTTGTTCCACTTAAACATCTGATGATTATAGTATATTCTGTAACAAGTTTGGAATACGGTATATTTCGCTCGAGTAAAAAGTTTGTTACACTAGCCAAAGGTGAGTTTGACGGTTTCATTCCAAACTTGTTACAGAATATACATACTATTTTCAACGGCTGGGAGTATTCAGAATGAAAAATAAATCGCATGTCGCCTGCGAACCTTTAGATGCTGTGCTTTCTCAACTAAAATTTGCATTTGGGTCGAAAAAAAAACGAAAAAATTGTCTTTTTTGGGAAAAATACACATTTTAATAAAAGTAGCAATCAACAAGTTAATGTTTTAAATAATTATTTTAATTTAAAAAATTATATCCTTTATTACAGAAAAGAAAATAAAACTAATCATTGAATTAAATTTAATTGATTTAAGAAAATAAACGTTTAATATACTGTATATATATATATAAGTCCATTGAAAATATTCATTTACAAAATAATGAATGAATTATAAAGTAAAGTTACAAACTTATAATTTTAAAAATCGATTTGTTAAAAGGATAGTTATGTTAATACAGCACCGAATATGTTTTTTTCCGGATATTAATATTAAAATATTCTTACTGAACTTAAAAAAAAATAGAAATAATTATAATCATAATATTATATGATTATAATCAGAGTCGAGAATCACTTTTTTTTCAATATCAGAGTACGGATATCATCCGTAAAAAATTTAAAATTTAAAAAAAAAATTGACTTGCATTTTTTTTATAAAATGCAAAAGTCAATTTTTCTGAAAATTTTCCGATTTTTTCCGCCTGCTAAATTTTTCCGCAAATTTTAAAACCCTAAGAACAATAAAATATATAGAAACGATTAAATATATTTATTAATATGCCGAGTTATTCTTATTCGTATCCGCCGAATAGTAGTTTTTGTTCATATTTATCTATTGGCAATGTTTGTAATGCCTTTTGTTAATAAAACAAGTTAGTCAGTTAAAGCGTCTATGGTCAGTTTCTCCTGACGATGTTAAACCGAAGCTTAGAGTTTTATTAACAGTTTTTCCACCCTAATTCAACAGGCTATGGCCCCAGGGCGATATAATAAGGTAAATCTAAAGCCAGTACGTAAGTAAATGAAGAACTTCAAAAACAAGGTTTAACATGGACAGAAGCAAAAGACATGGCAAAGAACAGAAAAACATGGAAGGAACTAATAGAAAGGATGTAATGGCGATGCGTAGGATTAACTACTCTACCATCACTTTGACCATAGAAAGCCCTAGAAACCCCTTTACAGGTGCCCTTCGCTCCAGAAGGAGTTACAGGAAGAAGAAGAAAGCCAGTACGCGAGTTTATTCGGTTTTTCTAATAAAACGACTATGTTGTTTTAATAAAAGACAGTTGTGCGGGTAAACGCGGTTTGTTGTTAGTTCTCGAGTTCAAAAATGGCAGCCAACTATTTGTCTACAATTTCAAAGCTACAAGGCCGTAAAAACTATGAGGAATGGTGTTTCGCCATGGAAAATTTCCTCATATTAAAAGGCCTTAGTAAGTGCATAGATGGTACAGAAACTGATACTGTGCAAATCGGAAAATGCAAAGCGAAAATTGTATTACCCATAGATTTTTCTTTGTATGTCCACGTTAAAGAGGCGACAACGGCTTGCTTGACAATGGAAGAATACATTAACCAAATAATCGAAACTACCCAAAAACTTGGTCGAACGATTCGGTCCAATGGTGGAGCATAGCGGTATCGAAATTATCGTCGACTCGATACCAGATGGTAACAGGAACGCAAATTTAACACCGGGCGCTTTTATTGGCAACTTTCAGAAATGTTAACGTCAATCACAGCAAAATGTAAATAAAAATGGAAGAAGATATCAAGAAAGTAGAAATACATTTAAAAGAAAAGACTTAAGTGAAGTGATTTGCTATAGTTTAATAAAAATTAATGGTACCTAGATTCCTGTGCAAGCATTGGTTGCTGAATCAAAGAAAGCCAATCTTAAAGAGATTGTTGTTGCCAATAACACAAAAGTTGAACTTTTAAAGTTTCTGAACACATTGTGGTGAAATTGAAATTCTCAGGAAAGTAGGCAAACAAAACTTTGAGATTAAGGTAAACAATGCTCAGGATGTACCTGGTTTAACTACAAACTTACTGTTGGTTAGTAAATTGCTGGAAAATGGAAATTCTGTTGATTTTGGACTGGATTATTGTAAAATTTACAACAATAAAAAGGTTAAAGTGGCAAAAGCATTATTGAGAAATGGAGTGTAATTGACATAAAAAAACATGTTTGTTGGACAAGCAATAGCAGGTGAATCTTGGCACAAGAGACTGGGCACATCAATTCAACATATCTAAATAAATTGAGGAATGGCCTAGTTAAGTGAAAATTGAAAAGCAAAATTGTGTAGTCTGTTGTGAGGAAAAACAGTATCGACAACCTTTCGATCATCATGGCACTAGAGCTAATGGACTTTTAGATGTTATCCAAAGTGATCTGGCGGGGCCAATGGAAACAGTATCTATAGGTTGATCAAAAATTTTTTTGACAATGCAGGATGACTTCAGTCGCATGTTCTTTGTGTATTTTATAAAAACAAAGGATGAAACATTTAATTAGTTAATAATGTTTAGTTGAGAAGCAGCTGGGTATAAAGGTGAACATGTTGCGCACTGACAATGGTGGAGAATACATTGGTGCAAAATTTAGCATTATCTGAAAATACAGGGCATAGTTCATCAGACTACAAATCCATATACACAACAGCAGAATGGACTCCTGAAAGACATTAGTTAAAAAGGCAAGGTGTCTATTGTATGAAGCGGATTTGAAAAAACACTGGGCAGAAGCCATCAACACAGCTTGCTATCTTCGAAATAGACCAACATGTATTATAAAATTGTTGGTTTGTGTATTATACCATTAATTGAAAGATTACACAAAATTTGGGCCTTGTAAATTTTTAGATGAAAATTAGGTCTGTTTTATAATTGTTTTTGTTATTAAATATTAGGATTTTCTATAAAATGAAGATACATTATTATTCGTATTATTTTAAAAACACTTACCTTTTTATTAGATATGCATTAACAATGACTAATATACCCAACACAAATAATGCCAAGGTTGATAAAATAATAGAAACCTGTTCTATTATGTCGATCATTGTAAATAATCCGGTAAAAAAAGTCTTTTGTTCACTACATTAAACTACAATAACAAAAATTTAACTTAAATCAATTTGGCGGCATCCCACATTTTTCCTCTAACCTCTGTAACATAACCTAAAATATTGACCAATAAAATTTCACAGTGACTAGAGGCACGCTAACGTGCCGCGATTCGAAATGTTAAAGGCAAGTTAGTTACGGTCATTATTAATTTACGTCATAATTTTAAGATTTTATGTTACGATAAAACTAAAACAAACCAACCAACCCAACACTTTTTAACAAAGAAACATCAAATTTATGAATTTAAAAAAATAAAAAAAGTTCGACAACTTCTAGTAGATTTTATGTTACGATAAAACTAAAACAAACCAACCAACCCAAAACTTTTTAACAAAGAAACAACAAATTTATGAAAACAGCTGGTCAACTTCTGATTATCGAACCCGGTACCTCTTGTATGCTAAGTGACCGCCCTACCATCTGAGCTAAGGTTGACATCAATTTTAAAACGCTCGGGGAACAAAAACGGATTATTATTATTATGAGTCATTCGCGATTCGAAATGTTAAAGGCACGTTAGTTACGTCATAATTTATGGGGAGCAGCTCGTGACACCCAAACACGAGAGATCTAAACTCGATGGGTCTAAAATTTAAAAGCGCGGTGGGTCTAAAATGTGTGGCAACGTCGCACTTCAAATAAGGTTTGGTTCACATTTTTCTTAAATGAAATGTAAATTTTCGGTCGGTTTAGACCTCACGAGTTGCTCCCCTCTGATATACCCATAACCAACAAAATTTACAAAGTTACTGGTGCCATCATAAAGGTACATTGATAATATCAATTTGATATAACAATATAACAATAACAAATGATCATAGATATATGTATGCAAGTGATGTTGTATTCTTATTCTATGGTTGACTTCTAAGGAGTGATTTTGACAGTTTAAAAATATATTCAGAGATGAAAGCAGTAACAGTTGGTCAGTTTAGGATTCACAGGTTTTTCTATGTTAGGATTGGTTTGTGACATGGCCATGAAATGGTTCTTCAGGGCAACACTAATACATGTCAGCGTCGTCAACCCGTCCTTTTGAAACATTCTAAATTTAGAAATAATAAAATTAATATATTAGATGACCTTTTTAAAAATAATTTGACGAGTAAGCATTTAATATTATTTTAAATATGTGGATACCTAACTAATATTGTATGTTTTCAGTACTTCCAGAGGATGCCGAAAGTCAAAACTGGTCGAGATAATTAATAAATAAAAATATCCATGTGGCCTAATTGTTGGAACCAGTATATCATCAGTTTATCCAACCTACAGTGAGTGAGAGAAAGGGGAGAAACATACAAGAAGGATAGTAAAGTATAGTATGTGACACAGAATCGGCAAAACTGGAAACATGACCCCTAATGGATAGTTGTGTGCCATTGGGTCCTGTTTGGCTTTAAGAACTTTTTAAGGAGCCGTATTGATATATGTAAAATAGTTTTAAAATGTAAGTATTATGTTTTAAATTCAAAACTTGTTGGCTTTTTAGCAAACCTTGGTTTTTCATTACTTAAGTTGAGTTGGTTCATAAAAAAGAATAATTTGGTTATTAGGCCTTGTGACAATACAAATTAAGCAAAAAAATGCAAAATGCACACTAGTTATAAACTTGTTAGTGTTCTAAAATATATTTGTAAAAACTTATAATTTATATTTCAAATGTTAAATCTTAAAAATTTGTTAGCCTAAACATTAGTTTATAACCAAGGTTTACTATAATTACTATAGTCAATAATTCTCTTTTGGATACATTTTGCTTTTGTAACGTACATAATAGCCCCATAAAATGTTTTGAAAAATGTGTTTTTAAATATATTTAGATATGTAAAAGAGAAAAATTTAACCAAAAAGAATGCAACCTCGAATGTAACAGTGGAGCATTTAAAAAAATCAATTTTTTTTAATATTTAAGGTTACTTTTTTTAAAAGCTAGAATTTTTTTAATTAAAAGTTTATCAGTCTTAATGTTTGTTATATTAGTTTTCTACCAAAAATTGCCCAATATATTTTTGCTTTAAATTTTATGTTTGTTAATTAAATTATTTTTAAAAGGAATTGGAAAATGGAAGCCATGGGACACCAACCTGAGAGCATAAACCTTAATTACACAAATGCAACACAACCTACAAGTTTGAATAAGGAATCTATTGTACACCAACTGGAGGACATAAACCCTACTTACGTGAAATTCAATGCAAGAAAGAAGACATTCTTGCAAGATGCAGTTCTACTGCACTAGTTGCATATTTTACCCAATACTATAAACTATAATCAATCTTTGCCATTGAATACCCTAAATGCAATAGTGATACTTTCACATGTAACATTTTTGTACTGCATTTTCTAATATCTTAAAGTTAAGTGATACCTATGCATATTCTTATTTTTGTAAAGAAATATTAATGTCATATTAAAAAAAATACCAAACAGTTAGGTATATTTTATTATTAGTTTATTTTTGTAAAAGTAACTTTTTATTATTAAATTTGTAAGGAAAGGACCTTTAATAATTGTTTATTGATTTATTTTCAGTTTAAAATCGTTGTAAAATCCGTAATATCCACAATCCATTATTGGATTGTGGTAATATCCAAATAATTTTTAAATAAACAAATCATGCGCAATTTTGTTATGTTACGTGACGTGTTGACTTCTGTCAAAATATTTTGCTTTTTGTTTGTAATGGTGAAGTTGTGTTTTTCTTCTAATCTGCGGTTTCAAAAAATGACTTATTTTAGAAAGTTGGTCACTTTAACATATGGATAAACCCAGTTTTTGAGTTATTATTATTGATTATCTATGATTACTTCGTTGCAAAACCGGAGATTTATTCGATTGCCATTTTCATAAAATAAATAAAAAATGTTATCCCTTACCTGGTCTTCCATCTTAGAATTTGAATTTAAATTAATGATTTCTGTACTAACTTTAATAGATATGGTATAGATGGCTCCACAATAATTTAAAAACACATACTTCATGGAAGTATGTATGAGGCGCCGTTTGTGTCAAAATTAAAAGTGCTAAATAAACTTATTTTGTTTTATAAATAATTAATTATATGCTTTATAAAATTATTATTACTTTTGATTCGCAGAAAATTATTTTATAAAAAAATTATTTTATAAAAGACGGCGGGCGCATTTATAAATTAATTTTTACAGCAGCCATCTCTCTTTGTTTGTAGACACTCGAGTAAACCCGAGTGAACCCGAACTATGAAGCGCCGTTTGGGCCAAAATAGTATGAAGCGCCGTTTGGGCCAAAATAGAATTGTATGTAATATATATATTTTTCTCAAAAATGCGTGATATATAAAAAATTTAGATATTTAAAATGTAAGGTAATCAATTTTAACAGTTAATTATTAGATAAAGGTGTAAATCATTATTTGTTTTGCATTTAACTAAAAGTGCTTTCTTATAAAAAACGTTTAAACATAAAGAGTTCTTGTTAAAAACTAAAAATCAAAATAAATGTAGATAAAAAAATTAATTAATCAATTAATAAAAATAATAAATTATTATTTTCAATCGTTTCCCCAAATTGCGTCAAACAAAAGCCGAGTCCGTGATAAAATTGTATCTGGCGAAGGGCGTTCGGGTTCACTCGGGTTTACTCGAGTGTCTACAAACAAAGAGAGATGGCTGCTGTAAAAATTAATTTATAAATGCGCCCGTCGTCTTTTATAAAATAATTTTTTTTATAAAATTATTTTTTTATAAAATAATTTTTTTTTATAAAATATTTTTTTTTTATAAAATAATTTTTTTTTATAAAATTATTTCTTTATAAAATAATTTTTTTATAAAATAACTTTTTTTTATAAAATTATTTTTTTATAAAATAATTTTCTGCGAATCAAAAGTAATAATAATTTTATAAAGCATATAATTAATTATTTATAAAACAAAATAAGTTTATTTAGCACTTTTAATTTTGACACAAACGGCGCCTCATAAGTATGTGTTTAAAAATATACGTGTACGACTGGTCATATAATGTCTATGAAGTAAAAATGTATTAAAAAAACATCAAGCGGAGCGTACAAAAATGGGACCAAAAGGTCCTAAAGGGTTAAATAAAATATTTACAGACTCTGTAATACAGAGTATACCTGTGTAAAATGAAAAAGTATATAGGGTTGTTGGTATACCAAGTTTTCATTTTGACCCTGAATTTCGGGACTACAATGTAAACTTTAAAACTAATAGTTCTATTTATCCAGGGTGTTTGGTTTTCCTTGGGACAATATATTGTCCCAAGGAAAACCAAACACCCTGGATAAATAGAACTATTAGTTTTAAAGTTTACATTGTAGTCCCGAAATTCAGGGTCAAAATGAAAACTTTAAACCTTAAGGTTTGTTTTCTCAATATTTGTCCAATGATGTTTAGGTTCGTTTTTGTCCAGACCCCTTCTATTTTACCATGTTTATGAAAACAGAAAATAATACCATAAATTCTTTCTTGTAATAAACTTTTATTTTTTTTTTATTTCCAAATAATTTTTTTTAATTAAATTAATTTTGACATGGGTAATATTTTATAACATGTTATAAAATTAATATATATATATATACACCCTATAGGGTGTCGCAAACGTCCTCGTGCAACTGGATATGTAGACAGTTCAATTTCTGGAAAACACATTTTTTTAAATATTTAAAAAAATTGGGTTTCCAGAACTTGATCGCTCCACATCCTGTTGCACGAGGACGATTTTTTTTATAAGCAAGGCTTTCTGGAAGATGAAGAATTTAAAGTGTAGGATATATCGAAAAAGACAACCATCAGGTGAAACTGCTTTTCTAATTTCGGCAATGCTTCACTGATCAAATTATTTTTTTATGAAATTATTTTCTTATCAAAGCTGTTTTTAGCACCTGTCATTTTGACAGCCGTTATTTTAGCACGTGTCATTTGGAATCTGTCATTTTTACAGCCGTTATATTGGCACCTGTGATTTTATCAGCTGTCATTTTGAGCGTCGTCATTTTAGCACCTGTCATTTTAATAGGTGTTAATTAGGCACC